TTATAGAAATTTGGATAATATTCGCAAGCTCTTTTACAGTCAGGCGAAAAGTTAACCTCGAGTAGCATAGGCTGTATCGTTTCCTGTTTCCATTCAAGAATCAAATCGATAGCGTATACAGCTCTACTTATTGAACTTTCCGCAATTCCTCTTGGTGGTTTTTCTGCAATTGCAGCCTCGAAAATTTCACGGAACATGTGCAAAATTTTTGGTTCGACATGCTCTCTCCACGAAAAGTCAGGATACTGCCTTTCCCATTCTATGATAAAATCTGCGCATTTTACGTGACAAAGTGGAGTGTCCTCTGAATAATTCATAACTGTAAAATGTTGTTCGTACACATCGAAATTATTTAAAGCAAATTCTTTATTTGCAAATCTTAGAAAGAAATTTTTGTAAACAAAAACTCTTAAAGGATTTACAGATTTGAGCATTACTATGTATCGCACATCGAACTTAACTTTTCCGATTTCCAGCCTCTCGTATAAAACTGGATTCGTAATATATTTTTGGGCAATTTTTGGCCCTGTGCTAGGTAACCGTAAAATATGGAATAAATTTTTCGTAATATGCGTATCTAATCCTCTAGCAAGATTCCAAGGCTTACAAATCCAATGATTATCTAAACCCATTGATTCCCTTTGTTCAAAATATGTGACAAATTGCACTAATTCTATGCTTAAATTATAAGTAGTTGGTAACCATGTTGGATAAGTTTCAAGTGTGCCGGGATCGTAAGATTTTTTACCTGCTTTTCTTCTGCATACAATTGATAATAAGTCTTTAATTGTTAAAACATTTTCAAATGGAAATTGATTTACAAAAACATTTGGCGATCGAATGCTTAATTCTTTATATTCTTTAAAGTGTGAAGTATACCACAAAATATCCGCGTGGTCTTCATTATTTACGATTTCAAATGCGGAATCATTCAAATATTCATTTATATATGTGTACTGTGAAAAAACTTTTAATTTTGTATTTCTATCTCTTTGAGGTAATTGTGGATCTACTTTTTCTGGCAGACTTTCACGAATATGACCTGCTAAAAAGTAATTTTCATCGGGTTCTACTTGTGCAAAATTTTCTCCAAGAAATGATGTGTCTATCCAAGGTAACAGTAAAGCTCTTCGTTTTTTTTGATCATTTGTTTGACCTTCTACAAAATCTCTTGTAACTTCTTTATCATAATCAACATCTTTTATAGGAAATAAAAGTGTATAAGTAATACCTTCTGGTAAATATAGGAAAGGCACTGTTCTAAAATTAGGATCATCGCTATGATTTATTGCTGATCCCACTTCATCCATAATATACCAAACTGGCATTCTATCCTCTATTGATCCGCTATTTAAAGAAAAAGATTGATTATATTTCCACATTTCATTCAATACAAAATCTATTTTTTCATCTTCTTCTGAATCAATGTCAAAACCCATTAGAGAACACATACGATCTAATAAACCTGGTATAGTTGATAAATTTTGTTTGGCATTTTTAATATCATATGTCCATGCATGATCTATTAAATAAATATTACTTGGATCTTGAGCAGAAATACCATTCTTATAAGAAACAAAAAGTTTCCAAATAGGATCTCTTGAACTTCTTTCAGCATCATCATAATCAATTCTTGCCAACTGAAATACCATGCCAGAATCAAAAGTTTGACATTGAAGTTTTTTAAATAACACTTGCCAAAATATTTTAGGCACCCCGGACATTTCTAATTGAGGTCGATGCGATTGAAGAAAAGTATTAAATAATCCTATACCATCCATTGCCTATAAACGAAATAAGACAATAATCTAAAATATTACAAATATCATAAATTAATTTATAAAAGTTTTATAAAAAAATTATTACCGAATATAATAAATATAATAAAAAATTATTTAAATTTTTTCCAACTACCAATATTTTAATTTATGAAATAAACTATTTACAAATCTAGAATCTTACGAGATCATAAGATACTTTAAAACATAACCTCTCTTTTCACATCGAAAATTCGATTTAATATTACAGCAATATATAATCACAATTTAAAATAAATGCAATATATGCATTTATTTTTTAACCTAATTATTTTTTCATAATAATTTCTTAAATATAATTTAAGATTATAGTGATAATATTGTAAGTAATTGATTGTAAGATCCATAGGGAAATTCGATTTTGGAATTGTTAGATTTAGTGAAGACTACCGTATAGAAATAATAGAATCTATTCTTTCCAATAAATAATACAGTTAATAGTATACTTTTTTTTTTTTATCTTTTTAATGACTTCAGTTTTAATATTTTATAATTTCGACGTCTTTTTCTATATATTATTTTATACATTATCTTCTTTCATATTCGCGTTTCATATTTTCTTCCAGTTATACCAATCAAATAATTTTCTATAGATTTATATAAATATTTTTCTTAGGGATTTTATAAGAATGTAGAGAATTTTGTTTCTTGCTAGTACGTTACATTCAAAAAAAGATACGGAACATTAATGGCTGGTTTCGTTCATCCTGTTGGCGCTTAAACTGTTTTCAGTTTGAGCCGGCGTATTGAAAAGTAAACTATTCTTAGCGATTTTATTTGTGTACATATACTTGTAGTAAGTATTTAATATTGTTTGTTACCAAATAGTATACATAGAACATTTTTTTTTATTAATTCACCATAATTTTTTGTATTAATCTATCTTCGATTTAACCGCTATATAACGTATTACACGTGGAATAATAATTTTATTTATTATAAAAATTATATATTACAAAAATTAAATTATTTGAAATAGATTAAAAATAATATATATGTGAAATTTAATCATATTTAAATTTATAACAGGATAATTTTAATTTGAGACGATAAGTAAGATTTCTGAAAGATGGTTAAAGCAGTATCGACGAAAAATAAAGATCTAATTTCTAAAAATTCTCTAAATTCACCGAAAGATGGATTTATACATAAAAAAAAGAATCAAAAATTTAAACAAACACCAACAGGTAAAGTCCCATTGATTAATGGATCAAAAGTTCAAAATAATAGTAGCATGAAGCAACAAAATTTACAAATACAAAAAAATAATTTATCTCAAAAGTCTCCCGAACAAAACAAAAAATTAAAAAAGAAAAATCAAGAAAAAAATGACAAAAAGCAAGAGCCTCTTAAGAAACAATCAATAAAGAAAAATGTGAAAGTTGAAGAAGTAGAATCTGATTCAGAAGATGATATTAACGAGGGTATTAAATTAGAAGGAAGCATAATGGAAAATAGTGATGATAATGAAAATGAATCATTTGATGATGATGATGATGAGAGTGAAGAAGAAGAAGAAGAAGAAACTGTTAAAAATATTCTTGGATCTAGTCTAGCAGATGAAAGTGATGAAGATGATGAAGATTACGAGGAAAACAAAGACACAAAAGTAAATAAAGGAATAAAAATGTTTGATGGATCAAAATCAAGTGATAAAAACACTGATTCTATTCAAGATAGTTCTGAATTATCATCAATTATGGAAGATTCTATGATTGATGATAGTGATGATGAGATTGAAGAAGAAGAAGAAGAAGAAGAAAATGAAGATGAAGATGAAGATGAAGATGAAGATGAGGAAGAAGAAGTAGATGAAGAAGAAGCTGAAGAAGAGGAAGAAGAGGAAGAAGATGATGATGATGATGAAGAATCAGAAAATGAAGAAGAGGGTGATGAATCTGCTTTAGGTCTAAAAGCCCTCTTGAGTAACAGTATTGCTGAGGATGATGATGATGATGAAGATTTTGTTGAACCAGATGAAAATGATGAAGATGATGATATAAGTGATGAAGAAGAGGAAGAAGAAGGAGAAGAAGAAAATAAGGTACAAAAAAATTCTTCATCAAATAAAAATAATAAAATAAGTATGGATACTTCTTTAGAGGAAATAAAAGAAGATGAAAAAACAATTTTTGTTGGTAATCTTCCAAAAGATGTAACGAAGAAAAAATTGAAAAAATTATTCAAGCAATTTGGAAAAATTGATACAATACGTTTAAGAGGTAAAATAGCAAAATCTGTAAATGTACCTAAAAGAGTTGCAGCTATTAAAAATGAATTACATCCTAAATTGAAATCAGTTTATGCATATATTAAATTTGTATCTAAAGAATCTGTTAAAGAATCTTTATCTATAAATGGAACAGAATTTGAAGGAAATTATTTAAGAGTAAATGCATCTAATAAATCAGAGAATAAATTTGATTCAAAAAAAAGTATATTCCTAGGAAATTTACATTATAGTAAGTATAATATATGTAATAATATAATAGTAATAAAAAGTAATCACAAGATTATATATTAATATTATATATTATAATTTTCAGATATTGATGATAATACAATTGTAAAACACTTTAAACAGTGTGGTGAAATAGAATCTGTACGAGTAGTTAGAGACAACAAAACTGGAGTAGGCAAAGGATTTGGATATGTTAATTTTAAGAATGAAGATGCAGTGACATTAGCATTAGAACTTGATGGTACAACAATTTCAAATAGAGAAGTTAGAGTAAAACCAGTTATTGATCAATATAAAAAGAAGAAAGACAAATATAGAAAAAGATCACATTCTACAGAAAATACCCAAACAGTATCAAATAAAAAATTAAAAAATGATATTGAAGTACCAACATCAGTATGTTATTTTATAAAATATTTGTTAAACATTTAAACTATTTTATTTAATAGAATATTAATAATATTCATATTTTTTTAGGTTCGTAATAAAGAAAATGCTATGAAAAGAATAAGTGAAAAGGGAAAAAATTTTGAAAAAAAACAAACTAATTCACAACAAGGAAACAAATTTCAGGGCCAAAAAGCTGATGCAAATAAAAAAAAGAAGAAACCTACTAAGTTTGAAAAAAAGAAAAAACTTCTGGCAGAAAAACTTACAGCTAAATCTAAAAAGCCATCAAATTAAATAGCAGAGTAAGAAATATAATGATATCAAATGTTTTCATAAAAAATAATTTTAATTAATTTTAATACATATGTAACTCATTGTAACTTATAAGAATGATAAGTTGCAACAGCATTATCTTATTGAATCAAAACAGTTAAACGTTTTTAAAACTTTCATCAGTATGTATTTCTCAAACGCAAAAGAGAAAAAAAGGACGTATTTAATGTTTAATAAAATATTATTTTTATGAATCTTTTTCTTTTATTAAATTTTTTATTTTAGCATGAAGTTGTGGTGGCAAATTTTGTATATTATTTGATGCACATTTTAAACAAAATCTTTTCCCGAAATATATACTGCATCCTAGACATACAGATTTCTTACAAAAATTACAATCAGCACCTAATACTAAAACTTCTCCTTTGTTTGGTAAACTAAAAGGATCTTTCATAATATAACATTCTTCTAAATAGGTTAATTGTCGTGCAAATGGTGCTTTAATGCCTTTGAAATCAAATCGTTCTTCTAATGAACAATAAGAACATTTAAATATTCCAGTTATGGTTTCTTTAGAATTCTGAACTGTGGATGTTAAATCTTGATTTTGCTCAATGATATGAATTTCTTCCGTAGATGTGCTAGCAATAGGTTCCATCCTATAAAGTAAAATTGATGGAAAATAATATATAATTTTTTCTGATAATATATTTATTTTACATTTATACATTACAATTTCATATTTAATTTAAAAAATAATATTATTCATTCTGTTTTATTAACGGAAACAATTTGCTTTTGCAATTCTTGTGGCCACCAAATAGGTTTTGATACTTTTAACTTAATATTTGATATAGTAAGTGATTGGGCATTCAGAGAATCATTGATTCGCATTAAACCTAATCCATACTGATTTTCAATTCCTCTAAATTTACCTACTACATTACCAGTTTCATTAATAATTTTTTCATCATATGAAAAAGATTTATTAGGAATTTCATTAAATAATAGAGGCATCAAACGTTTCCTTACAACACCAGTATGATAGGTACGTGCTGTAAGTTCTTGACCAATGTAACAACCTTTATGAAAACTAACACCATGCAAATAATCACAGTTTACTTCTAATGGTAATGGTTTTCCTGGTGGTAAATCTTCAATACCTTCTGGAACACCAAGTTTATAACGAAATGCTTTGTAACTCAAATGATTAGCAGAATCCAATGCATTTGAGTTCAAATGTTTTATTATTTTATGTCTTTCAATTTCTGATGCTGCTAAAATTCTGATACCTAAATCAGATAATCTAGGATCTTCATAAATCATAATATTATCAACTATTTTGCTTACTTTATTATTAAGAGTACCACATGGAAATATTAAACCTTCAAGCTTTTGCCTATTATTAATATGTTTATTATTCATATATTGAATAGGATCGAAGAATGCCCAAACATTTACACTATCTTCTAAATGATCTATATCTATTTTCCTTCTAACTCGATACATTTTTAAATGTTTTTGTAATTGTTCTGCAGCTTGTGAGTCACATTCAATATAATACACATTATCTTCTTGACTTCTATAGATAATAACATCATACATAACTCTACCCTTAGTATTTAGAAATAATGCATATAAATTTGCTGCCCCTTCTTCAAAATGTTTCATATCATTTGTAATCAATCCTTGTAAGAAAATTAAAACTTCATTCCCTCTAACCCGTAATAAGCTTTTATTTTTCAGTTGTTCTAAGATTCTGGGTGAAGATTGTGAAGAATTATATCTAACAAATTTTGTTCGTACTTTTCCAAGATTATCCAGTTTGCAGAATGATGGAATAAATTTTTTGAGATGAACAATCATTGTATTAAATATCATCAAATTAACAACCAATCTTTATATAAATTTCACCTTTGTGAAAAAAAAAATGCAGATAACCAGTATAAAAATCTTCATTAAATTCTAACCTTAAATTATACTTTTAATTTTAATCAAACAAATATGTTATAATCAAATAAATAATCTTACGTTTGTTTATGTAATATTATAAGAAGTTTTTCTGCCAAATTATTACGAACTTTATTTTTAAAATTTATAAATATTAAATATTTGAAGTATCATCATCTATACTTTTAGCTTCAATATATAAAACTATAGCAAAACAGAGTTTATAACGTATGTTGCAGAAATATTATAAAGCAAATATAGATAAGGAAAACAAATAGTGAAAAAAGAATAAAGATAGAATAAAAATTAACGCTATTTTTAAAGTTGTAAATGAAATTAATATAGATAAAAGATTAAATAATACAAAAATAGAGATAGAATAAGAATTGAATGTTAACGTCATCTTTTGAGTTTAAAAATATTTTTTTAAAAATACTCAAGAGATGGCGCTTAGTGTTCAATTCTTATTTTATATTTATCCATTTTTTTTTTTTACCTACATTTAATTTTATTTATGGCATTCTAGAGATGGTGTTAATTCCTTAATTTTTATTTTATCTCTGTCCCCTTATTTGCTCTTGTCTATATTTGCTTCTAATATTCTATAATTTGTTAGAATATTCTCATCATTTCTCTTTCAAAAAATATATCTTAATCTTTTACATAGGAAATTTTGATATTATTGGCTTTACAATATATTTTTAAAATAATCTGATAAAACATAATATTATGTTTTGATATATATGTTTTTGACACGAGATAGATTGATTTAATTAAATTTCTCTTGTTCTGATAATTCTAATATTATTGATATATTAGGATATATACATATATGAATTTCATAAACCTGAATTTTTCTTTTTCGCTATTCGTTATTTTGTCAAATAATCTTAAACAATTGTTTTAAAACATATATCGTCCATTTGATTTTATACTTCCTGTGAAAATGAACGCTCGGAATCCCGCCATAATCAGATTCTGTGTTCTGTTGGTAATGATGTGAATGACATGAAAATGGTAATGGGGTTCCAAAACCTTAAAATTTGAGCCATAAAAATACATCGCATGATTAGTCTATTCTTATATTTAGTCTATGACAAAATATTCAGCGATAATTTTATAGATAACATATATAGCATTAAAATTTTGAATTCATTATGATATTTAATCGAAATTGAATTTATAAATTTGCAAAATTAAAAACATTTAAAAAAATTTAAGAAAATTGTTGAAAATGTTCAAATATTTCAATATATCATTGTATTAAAAATGATTAAAAATTTGCGATTTATAAAACTTTTTATAAAATGTTATTTCATAACATTTCACGAAAAATGTATATAATTTTCGTTCTATATATATCGAAATTATTTTGAATCACATATTCAGCTTATGTCACCTTAAAAAACCTTACGTCAATTTAAAAAATCATTAATACATTATCTTAGAAGTATTTCAAGCATACAATATTTGGAGGAGTGAAATCTGCATAAAGTCTGGTAAATTCTCAGAGATACGGTGTACCAATATAGAGGAACAAGCGCATCAGTAAAGAAAGAAAAGAGACAGTTGATACAAACACTATCCATGAAGAGATCGAGAAGGACAACAAGTATTCAAAGGCAAAATAGGAAATAGGAAAGGAAAAACGACAAAACAGCTTCGATGTCGGTAGACTGTCGGAGGGAAAGGAAACCAAGTTGTGTGACGGGTTACCGCGCGCGGGGCGCGACGCTTGATGGTGAAGAGGACGGGGGAGAGATCTGCGCGCGCATTCCAAGCGCGCGTCACTTGTAAATAGTTCTATTCTCGGCAAGAGTGTAGCCGAGCTGAGAGTGCATGGTCGACACCAGTCGAGAAACCAGCTGGGACGTGAGACTGTCGACTGAAGCGCCTCTACATATTATTCGGAACGGATTCATGCGAGTCCGATCAAGGCAGCCAGTGTATCGCAAGTGCGCACACTTGACCGGGTCGTTCTAAAAAATTGTGAGATTCCATCGTATAGTACTGTGGTACCAATAAATTAATATAATTTGTTTCTTATCAAGTGACGATTAACTCCAAAAGTGTATTCGCGGCGATGTCAAGTGCCGCGAAATCATGATTTCCGCGCCTTAAACAAACTTTTTTCTTGTACTCAAGTGTCTGGAACTGAAGGTGCATACGCGGCAAAGTACGTGTTTTTTCATATTCTGTTTTTTGACGTACGATCATTCGATCGGGAAACATGTATTCTGATGGTCACGAGGTAGACGGCAGCTGGGTGCTGCGCGTTTACGTGACCGATCTTCAAGTAGAGAGGAGCTTACGAGTAAAAGGAGAACTTCATATTGGCGGTGTCATGCTTCGACTGGTCGAAGATCTCGGTGAGTCTACATTCCGTTTCTTTTAATATCGCTTATGACTGACATATTATATTTCTTAATGTCGAATAATTGAAAAGAACGTGTAGAAATTGAAAATTCGAACGATCGTTCACGAATTATTTATGACACGTGATAAACAGAATCGTCACGTGATAACCTGTATGCAGGTCCATATTGAAAAGTCAAATAAAAAAATTCTATCTCGTAAGAATTATATTTTTAAAAAAAGGACTGGCTTATGCATTATTTCTGAAAAATGAATATCGAATGAAATTTCTGTTAGAATGATCGATAGATCTTAATGTGACGGAATAGCAACAAGTTGTGGGATTAGCGTGTCGTTGCAAGGAACGCGATTGCTCGAGATGTGGTCTCCCACCATCGAAGAGAGCACGACTGAAGCGTGCACGGGAGTGGAAAAACTGGATGGGCGAACTAGTTTCGCCATGACGACGGACGTATGGACGCGATCACCGACTCCTTTATATGCTAAAGGAGCTCCCACAGCTCCGTAGAAAGACGAGAGACACGTGAGACCGGCAAGCGATTCCTATGTCTCGTCGCACGTAAAACGGATACCATACAGTCACTTTCGTCGTAGATAAGCATAACCTATTCGGTATCCGATTCCCTCCTGAATTGCTACAAGAGGACTAATTTTAATTTTACGGATATCTTGCTCTTCTTTTTACTCTTTAATTACTTCGTAATTTACACTTATTCTACAATTAAGAATCTTCACGTTGGAATTTCTCACTTTGACTTACTCGATATGAGAACTACTGCCGGTCAATACACCGGATAATTAGCCAGGTTGGGAGTACGATAGTTTCAGCCTCGACGAATTAGCCAATTTCGATCAATTGAGCGTATACCGTAACCCACGTATACACGGCCGAATAGGCAAGTGAATATATATCGCAAGGCAGCCTGTTTCAACTGTCTTAAAAAGACCTGATACAATTCTTTGCAAATTGTCCGTGAAATTCAAGGCTAAGTTCTATATCTATCGATCGATCTCAATAATAATTTATACGCTTGATATTATGTTCGAAGAAACGCAATTCTTCGAAATGAAGTTAGCAGTTTAAGAAAATTTGCTTATTGACAAAATTATCAACCTGAATTTCTCTTATATAGTTAAAATAAAATTATTCTTACCTTCGTTTTTTTATTGGTTTATTTTTTTAGATTCGTTTACAAGCTACTGTAATTTACACCTACGAAAGATCTGGGTCTCCCTTTTTCATCCGTTTGCCGCTTGTTTAGAAATGAGCGTATAAACTCGTGGTACGCGCCAGCTCGTTTTCTATTAAGCTTTGGTATATTTTCGGTAGAGTCTTATGAAGACGACATTTCCGTCTCGTTTCTTTCTCTGATCGCACGACAGAGAACGAGTCAGAGGCTTATTTTAACTCGGTGTTTCCACCATCCGATTTTTCGAAGCCGGCTTTCTACTTCCACGTATACAACCTCTGATCTCTCTGATCTTAAAAAGGATCTCTCGAGTATTTTACTCTCGCCCGACCCTCTATATACCTTCATTAAATCTCGTCCTATAATCCCCAACTAAATTAGTTCTTTTTATATAAGTGTTAAATCGGGATAAACTTTTTTTCATATTATTCAATTATTAATTATAATTAAAAACAATCTTTTAATAAACGAACAATTTCTTCGTGCACACAATGCATATACCATCGAAATACAATTTTCGCATCGAACAATCGAACGGTTTTTCTATAGAGGAACATAACAGAAGGCTACTTCCGGTGAAAGAAGATTTCAACTATAATGCTTACTCGTTGCTCGTGCGACAACGCGATAACTCGTATCTAGAAGATATGTCCCTTATGTGTTTAATGACGATAATTTCATACGACTACCAATATATATATATATATATATATATATATATATATA